TAGGTCATCCCAGGTTGTTAGCATTGGCAAATTTTTGGCATAATCAATGGAAGTGGGACAATTCCCTCGCACCCCCCCCCCGGCTTCAAAGTATTTCTTTTTTTTCCATGAAAATATCTATTAAAAACTGCATTATTTCAAACAATTTTCAGGCCAAAACAAAATCATTTATAAAATCTTAACTTGCTGTGAGCTTTTGGACATAAACCTATGGTAATGATTAGGATTATGATTAGGTAAAATATTCATTTAGATTCATCTACTTATTCATCTTTCCCATTACACTTGATTCACTTCTGTATTGCATACTTTTATTATTATTATTAATTACGTTGCATTATGTGAGCAGTTTCATAAGCTCAGGGATTCCCCTATGCCCTATCCGTGCCCTCCCCCTATGGTGGATTCCTCCACCTTGTTGCAGTATTACAGTTCAAATTAAGTCAAGATTCTTTCGTTGCAAACATATACCAAGCATAGAGTCCAGCATCTTATTGTCCAGATAAATTCAACAGTTTCTTGGGGAGACCATCTCTGATCTGAAGGTAGAGCTGGCAGAATATTCTCCCGATCAATTAGAAGCCCCAGCACAACATCAACCACAATTTACAACATTATGGAATTAATTGACATGGTATTGAGTAATCAATACGTTATAACGGTGCAAGTTCTTAACCACATCCTGTGACTAATTCATTGACCCTTCAATTTTTGTTTATACACGGAACTGGCTGCTATAAACCTTGAAGTGGCTATAGGGTACTGTCCAGCTGTCTCGTTCTGTTTTCATTTTAGTATTTAGCAGTTTATTGTGTTGAAGCATAACTTTGCTGCACTTGGTAGATTTTAGGATAGTCTAAATTGGCTTATGTTATCTAATGCATTAAGATATTGTGATGTAATCAACGAACATAGAATTAATGTGAATCAGATTGCTTATGTCCTACATCAAAGAATTGTAAAACCTAATATGCTTTTAAGACCCTAAGCTACTCGGAAATGGGGTGGAAGAACAGGGAAATCTTCCATCTCCTTAGAATGTGTGAGGAAGATGGAAAGTATAACTTAGCAGAAACGAAACAGCTTCAAAGTATTTCTATAGGTAAAGTTTCAAGGATTTCGAATTCAGAGTCAAAAATTATCAAACACATGAGGAAATGAAATACAATGAGCAAGAGCCAGTAGATGCAACAAATGGTAGGAAATACAAAGGCCTCAGATATTGGAGTTACAGAAATATGTTTACTGTATTTGAAGAAAATATGTTTAGCCACGAAAATGTAAATATGAAAAAAATTAAAGGACAATAGGACCCTACGAAACAAATTTTATAATTGAAACAGTGACAGTATTAACAGAACATTAAGTGCAGCTAAAAGTGGAATTGGTTAATTGGAAAATAAACCTTTGAAATTGTCTAGCAATGTTGGCTAAAGAGCTCAGAGGTGAGAAAAAATGGTGGAATAGTCAAAGAATCAGTGGCTTAGAAATTGTGGTGGAGATCAAGCAAGGAACAGAAAAAAAATGAAGAGATATATGTGGACAAAGGGTAAAGTTTGCTATTTCAAAGTACCAAGACCAAAGAAAAGTTAGACTAACAAAGAGCAAGGACTTGACTGAGAGTGATTTCTCAACAGTGGGAATGGAAGCCAAAAGCTAGTAAATGTGCTAGAAGGAAAGAGCTATCAGTATAGAATTCTATACCTGAAAAAATAATGTCTCAAGAGTGAGAGAAACATGGATTTTTCAGTAAACTATATTTGCTGCTAATACACTCTCAATAAAGGAAGTGCTAAATGATACATTTTAGGGAGAAGATCACATAGAAAAAAAATAAGTGAATAAGACAATTTGAAAATTAATTTGCTTAGCAGCCAATTTAAAATTAGAAAAAGACCAATAAAAGAAGCCTGAAGTAAATGCAAGGACGTAAGCTAATTTAAACAGAGTCAGCACATCATGTCAAGTCTCAAAAAGGCAGAAGCTAAAACTGATCAGGTCAGGTGAGATTAAGGAAAGAAAAAAAACTAGAGTGATAACACAAATAGTGTGATGAATGGAGAAATATCATCCATGTTATAATAAAAGGGGCATATAAAACCCTTATGCCAGTACAGTAGAAGAGTTAGACAAAATAAGCAGATTTATAGGGAGAAACCAATGATCAGGACTGATTTAAGAATCAGAAAGTCTAAATGGTCCTAGAACACTTAAAAACATGCACTCAGTAACCAAAAAATCTTGTTTGAAACAAAGCTCCAGACCCAGGTGGCTCCACTGGAAAGTTTTATGTCATATTTAAGAAAAGAAATATTTCCAAACTGTATATAACCTCTTCCAGAAGTAAGCGTAAGAGAAAGGAAAATCATTTCTCCGTGTCAATCATTTGTGTGGTTGCAAAACTCCTAAACAAAACTGTTAGCCAGCTAAGTCCAGCCAATGTGAAAGTGTTCACTGACGAGTTCATGCTTGGTCTGCAAGAATACTTTAATATTAGGAATTCTGTAATGTAATTTATCACATTAGCAAATTCTAAGGAAAACATTATGTTTTCATTTCAATGGGTTGAATCACAGCTTTGATTAAAATTCAGTAAGAAATTACCATAAAAATCTTAGTATAGATAAGTATAGTATTGATAATTCCCATAGCATATTAAAATATATTTACAGCAAACCTATAGCAAACATTACATATTTTGGCAAACTAGTGAATTTTTCCATTTTTATTAAGGGAAAACAAACATGCCAGTTATTACCCAGTGAAATTCAACTTTGTGGCAGAAGTCCCAGCTACATATGTAAGACAAGAAAAAAAGGGCAAAGGTTTGAAAAGAGAAAATAAGATTGTTGTTAATTTTTAAAATAATTTTTGGGACCCCCCCAAATCCTCTTAGAATTTCATCAATATCAACTCTTAAAATAAAATTCAGAGTGAATATTGGACACATATGTGTGATACTGTTTTGTTGTTTAAGGCTTAGTTATGAGAAAAGCAACTGAGACAAGGTTCCATTTTAAAAGATCTCAGTCTTACCCTCTCTCTTTCTTATTTGGGGTAATTGCTCATGAAACCAGTTATGTAGGGGTGTAGGGTTATGCAAAACTGTCTTCACAGACAGATCCACAGGTTATCTTTTACAAAAATAGGACTTTTGTCCTTTAAAAGTTAAATAGTAGCATTTGCTTGCTTGCTTGTTTGTTTGTTTGTTTGTTTTTGTTTTTAAGAGCTGGCTCTGACCTGGATATGGATCTAAATTCCATTTCCATTTCTGAGAACTCTCAGAGCACTGAGCTGGGAGTTGCCACCAGCCTCACTGGCTTTGTTTTGGAGCCCTCTGGGAGGATTGGCTTTTGAACCTGAGCCTTAATGTCTTCACTGTGGGATGTGTCTTGTTCTGTTTTCTTGAGAACTGTTGTTTCATGTTTTTTTTCCATTTGTTGTGGAGTGTTTCAAAGGAACAAATCTGTTTTTTTCTCTTGTTGACTGTAAGTCAATTTAGTTAAATAGCATGTAATTTTTGGGGGTAGCACTCTTTTGTTAATGAAGGGTTGTTTTAACACACTTTATTCTGGAACAGAGTTATTTGACTTTTCGGTGGAAGTATGCATGAATTTTTTTTTCATGTTTTTGCTTCTTCTTGTCTTTAAAAGTAATGTCATTTACAGGCATGCTCCCTGAGGACCCGCAGAAGGAACCCTACGGTGGATAGTTCCAGAAGGGTTTTAGCATTCTCTGCTGCTCTACATTTTGTTACTAAGGGCTGTGCAAGGGCTCCCCACCTCTGGAGCTGTAACCCTCTGATGTGTTTCATAAATTTTAATGAAAGGCAGATTGGGAGAGAGCATAGATGAGCTCACACGATTGTATATAACCATGCATTGGCTCCAAATATAAATCTTGGTGACATTACTCTGAATTAGAGTTCATGGGAAGTACCAAATTCCACCTTCCAGCTCAGAGAACTCAAAAGTCATGTGCAATAAGTTTCATGTTCTTGCTACACTGCTGGACTTATTTTTAAGGCCTGGAAACTTGCCCAAATATTAGCATGTGTATTATTTGCAGTATGTACAAAAATAAATTACCTATAGTTACAGAGTCTGGTGTTCTAAGCAGTTTGTAATACATATGATTTAGCTTGCCATTGTCTGATGCTAAACTTATTTTTGGTGTGTGGTTATGAACTTTATATAAACTTTATATTTATATGAACTTTATTTATATATTTATAATTTCATAACAGCTGTTCATTTTCATCATTAAATTGTAATCAGGGGTTCTTGCCTTAACTCCAGTATTCTCTGTATTTTACAAAACTTTCTAAAATTGGACTGAAGCTTTCTTTCAAAAGACCCCTGAATGTGGCCAGATTGAATAGAAGCCAATTTAGTTATCTCTAGAAAATATGAATGAGGCCGAGAGAAACTGCGGTCTTTGAAGACTCCTCAGATCCCTTTTCAGCCCTTTGCTTTCCACCTTTGCTGCTGCTCTCAGGCCATTCACAGAATCCCTGCCTGAACCCGTGGGACCTCCTTTGGGTACCAGCTCCTTCAGTTTGCACAGCCTCAGTGTGGGGCAAATGAACTGTGTAAGTGCTTTATAGCCAGTGAGAAATATGAGAGCAGGCAGAGTAGACCCTCTTTGACCTTGGCCCTATATTGTTCAAAAGTAAATAACATCAGAATGGTGAGGCAATGACCATTTTTCCCCATGCAGTGTTGGTTGCTGTGTTCTATTCAAAAAGTTTTATTTTTCTTACTGCTTTATATTGTCTTAATCATAACAACCAACATATATGGTGAGTTTCGGATAGGGAAAAATGCAACAGGCCTGAGAAACCATATGCGTTCTTTTTAATTTAAGACTTCAGAGGAGGTAAAAATTGAACGTATGTTAAGTGCAAATGCCACCCCTCCTCCAAGGTGACAATTCAAGAGGTATCTATTTTGTTTCCCTTTCTGGGGGAAGTCTTTAACAGTCTGTATTTTCCTTTTCAGCCACTAAATCAGGACTGTTACCCCCACCACCTGCACTCCCCCCGAGACCTTGTCCTTCACAGGTAGGAGATGGGTTTGGTTTCTGTATATGGGCCTCAGGGAGCCAGCAAACATGTAGCAATTCGCTCTTCAGGGGTTGCATATGGTTTTCATGTGGGGAGGAGAGAAGAAAGGGCATCAGCCATTGCGGGTGAGGATATGGTTTTTCTTCAGTGTGTACATTGTGGGTAAGTATACTTTCATCAGTGTTTTAGGAGCTGTAATAATTCCATGTAAGCTAAAACAAAACAGTGCCCATCACCATGGGGTGACTGCTGTGGTTTGGGTCCAGGTGCTTTCTTTACAATGTCATTTTTTCTCAGGAAAATAAGCTGAAACAGCAAGAGTAGGACAGAGTGTCACCCAAAGCTGTATCACCTGTAAACTAATTCTGCCCTATTTATATGGCTGTCTACCATGGCTTTCTTCGTGAATACTTTTCATGGAGTTGAAAGTGAGAAGCAGGCAGCAAGCCTATAGCATGGTGTACAGTGCTATAGACCCATCCTTTTGTTCTCTCTCTCTTTTTTAAAGAGTTATATATTTTTACTGGAAAGGCAGATTCACAGAGAGGAGGAGACAGGAAGATTTTCCACCTGCTGATTCACTTCCCAAGTAGCCTCTTCCAGGTCTCCCACATGGGTGCAGGGTCCCAAGGCCTCCACTGCTTTCCCAGGCCACAGGCAGGGTGCTGGATGGGAAGCGGGACTGCTGAGATTAGAACCGGTGCCCATATGGGATCCTGGCACATGTAAGGCAAGGACTTTAACCACTAGACTAACCATGCCAGGCCCTGTTCTCTCTTTTAAAGACCCTTTCTGTATTTGGCCACAGTATCAGGAGCTTTTTCCACAGGCAATCCAGTTTTTGTTTATTTTTAAAATATCTTCATAAAACATCTGATCTTTATTTCATATAACTACCTCAGAATATTGCCCAATTCATTTTCTTCTCTAAAAGAAAGTCTACATAGGAAACAAATGCTGTCAGAAGACTTAACAGGAGATTTTTGTACTTGTTTTACTTGCTGTTGAACAATTTATCACAAATTCAGCACCTAAATGCAACACTTATGTCTAATGGATACTTCAGAAAGGTGGTCGGAAAATGGGATTAAAAGACGAGTTTACCGAGTGGGCATTTTGTTTGCCCTCATGGTTAAGACAACCCTTAGGATGCCTGCATTTTTTCTAATTTTTATTTTTGTTGGTCAGGGTGGGAAGGAGCATGTTTCCAAATTTGTTTTTCTTCTTCCTCTATTTGGGGGTAAGGGAAATATAGGGAAAAAGCCACGCTCAGCCTGCCAACCGCCGCAGTACCTGGGCATGGAGAATGGCTACACATTATCAACCCAGGGTCCCTGATATGGAGCATGTTCTGAGGATTCTACTTAAGTGGTTTTGATAGTTTTGAAATGCTGCCAGTCTTGCTCATCCAAGAATGAAGAAATCCTTCCAATGTCTGTTAACTGACATAGTCAATCTTAGAGTCTCCATTCACCCAGATATTTGCTGCCATTGCTTCGTTGGGATAGTTGTCCAATTTCTTCTGTCATCCATCCTCTCCTATGGTACCAACTGTCTTCTGCAGGCCCCAATGGGCTGTCATATCCTCCATGTGCATCTGTGCCTGCCATCCACTTCTCCATCTTTTCCACTGAGGAGGGCACTCAGAGCCACCTGACCTAGGCCCTGCTGGACTCCCAACCCCAGGATGCATGGACCTGGCACCTACCACGCAGGTGGGCCTAAAGACCCAGGCAGGATGACCTAGGCCCTGCCAGACCCCCTGGCACCACGCAGGTGAGCCTAAGAACCTAGGCCAAGCAACCTGAGCCCCACTGGACCTCCTGCCCTCTGGGTTTACAGACCTGGCATCCCCCCTACACATATCTTTAGAAAAAAAATAGAACAGGTTAGGCAACTATGCTGGAACACTGGTATGGCTAACACAGATTTGGCATTAATCAGGCTCAGGATACCTGGAAGCTATTAGCTGCTTTTCTTCCAGCAGTGTAACACTTGCTAGGCACAGTGCAACCTTGGCCATTGCCCACAGCTTGGAGCTTACATTTCTTGTTAGGTTCAAGTCTGGGCTTCTCTTGGTTTTCTTGTTTTTTTTTTTTTTTTCTTCTTTTTCTTTTCTTTTCTTTTTCTTTTTTTTTTTTTTTGGTGTGTGTGTATGTGTGTGTATAAAGACTTATTTTAGTTTTCATTTGAGAGGCAGAGTTACATCTACTGGTTTACTCCCCAAATGACCACAATGGTCAGATTTGAACTGATCCAGAGCCAGGAGCCTCTTCTGGGTCTCCCACATAGGTGCAAGGTCCCAAGGACTTTAGCCATCTTCCACTGTTCTTCTGTCCCATAAGCAAGGAGCTAAATCAGAAGTGGCAGTTGAGGATTTTCTTCTCAGCTCTGGCTAGTTCAGAACACTTACACGTCTCCATAGGGCACATCTCGGGACTCACTGAGTCACTGCGACCACTGTTCAGGTTTCTTTGCCTTTCAGACAACTGGATAGTCCTTAGCAACCACCCTACCTTGAAATGTAATTCCTGAGAGGTGTTGATATTCTGTTTTTAACATGAAAGGTGGTAAACGTCCCAGTTCTTCCTGTATGTAAAAGAGTGAGAACTCACTTTTGAGCAACCGGCATTGATTCTAAGACATGTTTCTTAATCATGTAACATATTTACTGAGTCCCTGCTGTATATCGACTGTCAAACTTTAGTTCCAGCTTAAACCTTTCCTTGGTTATAATTTTTGCTCATTCTAACACTGTGTACATTAAGCAACTATGGTAGACCAGACATTGTGCTAAATGCTTTCAGTGCATATTCCATCTTCACAGAAACCCTAGGAAGCAGTAGATGCTAGCATTATCATTTCTTGTAGAAGAGGAAATGAGAGCATATAGAGATTAGGCAAGTCTGTCAGGGTGGTATAGCTAGCATTTACGAGAGCCAACTCCCAGAATGAATCTGTCTCCTAACAGCCCATCCTCTCTGTACCACTGTGTCCCTGGATACAGCAAGAATGTACCTGCGATGGAGGCATTCCCTGCATCCTCCTAAGCAGGATCCAGATGAGGTGAGGCTTTTGCTTTGCACCATCCACAGACCTGGACTTTGTCACAACAAATTTAACAGGCATTCTGGAGCTGCTTATCTGCCAGCTGCTTGTGTCAAGCCTGGGGCCTGGGAGCCACCCAGATGCGTGTGTGGAGAACCTGTCTGACAGGGCTTTTGTTACCAACCTCCTTATCTTTCTCCTGCTGCATAAATGACAATAATTCCTTGCTGATCCTGAAATGTGCTGTTGCTATCAGCAGTCCCCATCTGAGCTGCTGGAGGTGGGCTTCCTGCCTGTTTGGGGGCTTAGTGGCCCAGGATCTGGAGGGGCAGTGGGAGTTCTCAAGTAACTGTTAATGAGTGAGCCTGCTTCTTTGTCTACCAGATTGGCTGTCACAGTGTAAACAGCGAACCTGGCACTGAGCCCAGGCCTCCAGCTCAGCTACCTAACTATGGAGATTTCAAACTGCAGGAACAGGTGTGTGAGAAATGGAGGAAAAAAAAATCTCTTCCTTCAGTTCTCCCGTTTCATTGTAGGTGGGACACGTCTTTTTGATGTATGGAGTCTGAATAGTAAACACACAGTTGTATTTAGTCTCTGTGCCATGTCAGATTCCTGATCGTAAGCATAGGAGGGCTCAATTGACGTCCTTGTGGAGTACACTATTAAGTCCAGTCTTCCCCAATAAGTCGTGATGCAACAGTCTGCAGCTGTTAATAGGGCCTTGTGAGCTGCTGTTCCTGTGCCAGATGTGGGGCATTTGTGCTGTGTAGGGGCTTACCAGAGGCTTTGAAGTCCTACAGATAGAGGAAGCTGGTCAATTTTGTTAAAGCTGGCAGCTTCCCTGCTTTTGTATCATTTATCTCTTCATTTATGAAATAGCTGCTAATATGCCAAGGGCATAGTGGTTAGGAAACACTGGTATCCACCATGTCTTTCTCATATGCCACCCTGTCTCTGTATGATTTGATTAGAGCTATGTTTTAGGTGTTGCTCTAATAGTTTTCTCTGGGAGAGTTGGGCAGGGTGGCTCACTGTCCGCTGGCTTGCAGTTCTCAGCTTGTCCATGTTTCCTTCCTTGTTTTGCTTTTCCTTCTTACATGCTCTCCCAGGAGATTCACCACCTCCCAGCAGGTTCTCTACAGAGAATCTCAACATCGTGGTTCTTTTGCACTGTGACACATCTGTTGTATGTTCCCTCTCCATATAGATCATCAAAATGGTTTTGGAAATATGAGGCTACTTTAAAAAGTTAATGGAAAATTGAACTAAAAGGTATATTTATTTTTGGTGGTAAGTATTTTTGAAACCCATGAATATATGGAAATGTGAATTATGTAAAATAACACATAGATTTCAATTTTTTGCGCTTAAATAAACTTACCTTACTTATTCCATCTTTTCATGAACTTAAAAAATACCTGTGAAATCTCCAGAGGTTTTTTTTTTTTTTTTAAATGAGGCTTTAGCTACAGTACCATTTCTAGGAGAACTGTGGGGGAAAGCAGGAATCCTGGTAGGATTTACATCATGGCATTTGCTTGAAACTCTGACGTAGGTCATGATAAAACATTTAGGGGCTGTTGTTGTAGCACAATGGGTTAAGCTGCTGTACTCATTCAGGAGACCCTGATAAAGCTCCGGGCTCCTGATTTCTTGCTGGCCCAGTCCTAGCTGTTGCAACCCTTTGGGGCATGAACCAGTACATGAAGGATCTCTGTTTTCTTCCCCGTCTCTGTAACTCTGAGTTTCAAATTGATAAATACATCTTTAAACAAAGTGAAATAAAGCATTCAGCTTATTATTTTTTAATGTCATGTTATTTAAGTCAAGACTAGACTATAATAAATAGGAAAATATTTGTTCTCTACAAGGAAGCACTGTTTTAAAAACTGTGTGGTTCATTAGTAGTGATATGCTTCCAGGTTAGCAGTGTGTAAGAAAAATGA